GGCCTTCCTCAGAGAGTTTAATGCTTCAGGAGGCCTTCCTCAGAGAGTTTAATGCTTCAGGAGGCCTTCCTCAGAGAGTTTAATGCTTCAGCAGGCCTTCCTCGGAGAGTTTAATGCTTCAGGAGGCCTTCCTCAGAGAGTTTAATGCTTCAGGAGGCCTTCCTTCCTCAGAGAGTTTATGCTGCTACATGCTGTATAGATCTTCTGCTACTTTCATGAGCCACTAATAGTCATACTCCAAGTCACACTATTACATGTTTTAAATTACACTATGGAATCAAAACAGAATTGTCTCTCAGGAAGAATTCCTGTCCTTTTCTCATCCTTTTCATCTTGTAATGTGATTGGTCATGGCCAGAATGTAAACACTATCAACCTATCAGATACTCTTTTACAACAAAGACTTGAATGACCTTATTACTTTTTTCACTAACATTAACAGTGTGGAGGCCCTCCACTGACCTGAGGTCATTTTCTTTATCTTTATCTAGGGTGTTCAAGGGCCAGCTGGAAAGCGTGGTACCATTGGAGAGAAGGTGACATATACGGGACCCACTTCATTAAAAAAACATTTGTTTTGCTGCTGAGATCCCAGCGAGCTTTGCTCATTACTGCCTTTGCAGGGCATTGTGGGAGACCCTGGCTTTCCAGGGAGAGACGGGGACCTGGGAGTAGAAGTAGGTCGAGCTGCTCATCTTCATTCAGAGTTCTCGGTTCGGTGTGTAGCTGGAGTGCTTAACGTGAGCGTTTCTGTGCACACAGGGTTACCAAGGAGCCCAAGGTCCAGAGGGAGGGTCAGGTCAGGCGGGGGAGAAGGTAACGGACAACTAAGCTGCAACAGAGTAACCATAACATGATGAGTGTTCCCAGTTTGGGGAAAGTTCAAGGTGTCATTTGTTCTTGACAGGGAGAGAAGGGGTCATGGGGTCGCCCTGGAGACATGGGGCTACAGGGAGTGCCAGTAAGCCACATTACCATGTAGTAGTACCACACTGATCTAAAATGCAAATGAGCAGTTAAAATGAATTATTTGTAGAGGAGGTACATGTTGATGTGCAGTACATGGTTCCTTAATAAAATGGCGCCCCCCTCCCCTGCCCTCCACAGGGCCCACGAGGCTACAAAGGTTCAGCCGGCAAACCGGGCCGTCCAGGATTTGTTGGCCCACCAGGGCCCATTGTGAGTCTTCCCGGCCGGTGTTCCCAAACCTTCCTGAATCTCAGATCGTTCCTGTGCTCTGCATATTAAAATGTGGTGTCTCTTTCCAGGGACACTTGGGAATGACAGGACGTCCAGGCCCCAAGGTACCATCTGACTCATTAGCACGTGCTCATCTGTCACAAAAACAATAATCACTTTTAATTAAAACGTCACCTTTGCGGAACCGTGGGGCCTCGCCTCCAGGGTCCGCTACTCGCAGTCAGGTCTAATGCTGTTGTGTCCATCATGCCGGTTCCCCTCCTTTGTTGTGTGCGGGTCTCCCTCTTTACCCCCGTGGAGGTTCCCCACCTCCCTCACCTCGTAAAAGCATCCTGGAGCTGCTGTCCTGCAGTTCCCAGGTCTTGGCTGCCATTCTGAGCCTCAGAGCTCTACTGGGAAGCGTTAGCAATGATTTACTGCGCGCAAATCCCTGCGTTTCCGCAACAGATCCTGAGCTGGAGTCACGGTGGGAGTGGGATTTGGCGGGAAGGCCCCATCGTGATCCTGACATGCTTTACAGCGCTGGCCGTTGGACACACGCCCTTTATGTGTACGCAGCTTCGGTCCGTGACCGGCTGTTCCTATAGTAAGGAAGTCAGCACTGAGTTTCTGTAGCCAGGGAGCTGTATGTTTGGGAATAGACGTGCGTTGTTAAGAGATGAGACACTCTTGTCAGAGGAGTCATTCCTCACTGGGGAAGAAAAACTGACAAACATTGCAAACCTTTCTATGTCTACTGACAATATACATGAAGATAGACTTAACTGATCCCAGGGGGAAATTCTTGAACATAGGTCCCGCTGCTTTTGTAATGGTGCTAATTGAGTTCCTAATTGGAAAAGTACCTACGCAGTAGCTGTGCGAAAGTTGCTAGATGTGTATAAAACACCCTGAACTTCATCAGTGTTTGCAAACTATTTGGCTCACGTCCGACACTGTTAGTCGTTGAGAGTGTCAATAGAAAAACTCTTTGGACGGGAGCTTCACCGGCCTCACATGAGACTGTATGTGGTGATACAGCTGTTTAAACAGCCCTGATTAATCTCATAACGATACCCAGCATGAAAACCAGTGCTGTCTCCATTCGTTCCCAAAGAGACACGGGTGCAAACCCGGTGAGCTAGTCTTGGTTTTGGCGGCTGCCTAACAAAACGTTGGCTAACAGTGCAATAATATTTATGTCAGAGGACACAGAAGGGCCTGCTGGGAAATACCATCCATCAGTGTGAAGCAGCTTCAGAAGAGCTGAAACCTATCTGTGTGCTGGTTGCTTTTTCCATCCAAGCCTCTTTCACTCCTGCAGCGGATTCCCCTTCCTTGGGTCCGGGCTGAGTCAGATGTGCTCTCTCGCGGGACACGGAGCTCTGTTCAGCACCTGCATTTTCCTAGTTATCCTCAGTATGTGCGCATATGACAGGCAAATTAAGCTCAGATGTTTTCCATTTGCGGCCTGCTGACACACACAAGGACTTGCCTCAGTATCTGCTCACTGTCTCCATTCCCATGCCGAGCTCCTTGGGCTTCCAATGAATAAAACACCCTGACATGCCTCAGGAAATTTTATCCAAGGAATGTACAGGAAATGTGCCATGTATACTTACATTTATTTACTAATTTTACATCTCATATGTAAACAAAATGAGAGAATGAAACAAACAAATCACCACAGAACAAAAGCACTTTAAAATAACCCTAATAATAATAATTCATACCAGCTTAGTAGTACACATGCACACATAAAATTTAACCACTGAGAGTCATATTGTAGGACAATTTAAATACACATCCATGTTACAGTTCAGATAAACGACAGTATACTAATTATCAATTATCATTCGTTTTGACAGCAAACAGCACCAGATACTCACTTTAAAAATGTTCATTAAAAAAAAATTTTTTTTTTATGGGGCCATTAGATGGTATCATGTTAATGTTGTTCACTGGTATAGAGGCTGGGGGAGGAGGAGATTTTAACAGAATGGGTGGATTTATTTTCAGAAGTGTGTTTGCTTTAATGTTTATTCTTCATGGCATGGGAAATACTGCACTTCAGGGAGGGACAAAGTTCACATTTTTCCCATTGTTTAGTGAGAACAAAAATGGCGGTCTTTGAAAATGAGCTGGCTGGATAGCCGACGTGGGACTGGCGGAGTGCAGTGCAGGCACACACTACACGCTACACGCTACACGCCTTTGTCACAGAGGAGTTCACATCAGCTGTCCATGTCTTAACAGGGTGCTACAGGCAAACCAGGCATCCAGGGAGCCCAAGGGCAGGAGGTAACCATCAACACCGGCTTTCAAAGAGGACCATCAGACTGAAACCTAAATCATCCCCAAGTGCTTTATTAGATCTGTTTTCTGTTGTAAAGGGGCAACAAGGACAGACGGGGCCCAGAGGTCAGGTAAGGAAGCTGTCAAAATAAGGAAGCTGTCAAAGTAAGGAAGCTGTCAAAGTAAGGTAAGCTGTCAGGATTATGTCCCTGGCTGATTTATAATGGAAACACTGGTGTCATGTGATCCATCTCATGGAAAGAGCATGTTTAAGAACCAGAGTGTCATGTGTGGAGCCTTTTCGTTACACCACTAACACGTACTGGGGAAACCAAGAAGATGCTGCACAGATGTTTCTACTGAATTCCCTCTAAGGAAGTCCATGATTTTTGCAGAACATGTATGGTCATTATGGTGATCATGGTGGAACACTGCTGCTGTGCTAACGTGCTAATAGACAGAACGATGAGGCCATACACTCTCGTCAAATGCAGACCAACCTGTAATCGGGGTGTTCTGTGTGTCCAGGAGGGGGACAGAGGTAAACAGGGTCCCCGTGGCAAGGAAGGGAAGCGAGGAGCTGGTGGGGAGCCCGGTTCTGCAGGACCTGTGGGGAGCAGAGGCGTCCCGGGAGATGGGGGACCTCAGGGATTCCAGGGACCTCCTGGGCCACCTGTAAGTGTTCTGGAAATTTCCCAAGATTAAATGAGTACATTTTCACTGATGTCCTGGATAATGAATTGGGGGGGGGGGGCTGAGGAGCAGGCGTATGGCTCAGTGGGGCACGACGCCGTGACTGATCAGAAGGTTGCTGACTCAGCTTTCTGACAGGAACATACGTCGCATTGGCTAAAAGCTAAATAAACATGAAAGTGGGTACCTTTGCTTGAAACGGAAATGGCTGGTAACACACAGAGTGCGCATATCATGTAAACGTCGTGCACTTCCTGTTTCTTAACCGGCTAATATTGGTCAGTTGAAACAAGCGGGTTAACCACATGCCGATTACGAGCCTGTGTTGTTTTAGCTAGCTAATCAAACAGCACCACACCCTGCCCTCCCGAAAGGCGAAATGAGAGGCCGCCATTGAGCTTCTCGACTTATGAGACGAGTGCTAACTCTCGTGGTGACAGGGAGGCTTGTAAACGGCTTCCGCCAGAGCTGTGGTGCACTTTCTGGGGCAATAAAAAGTATAAGCTAGCTAGCTAAGCGCTTCTGGCTCCTTCTGCGGCCCCCCGGCACAAAGCAGCTGCCATCTCTCCCTCCCTCGCTGTACTGTGGGGTGAGTCGTGTATCCCTGTCGTGTGTTTCCACACTCACTCTTCCCCCCCCCCCCCATTCCCTGCACAGGGCCCAGTGCTGGCTGCCCAGCACGTCATTGAAGTCTGTAAGAAGGTGGTGCTGGAGCAGATGTCCACCTTCGCCAACTCCGTGAAGAGGACATGTGCCACCGTCTGCCCCCTGTATGGAGACGTGCCCATGGGAGCCCCAGGCCCCCCAGGACCAAAAGGACCCTCCGGACCACCCGTGAGTGTCCATCTCTGTGCCTGAGCATCAGCTGTCTGTATTTCAGCCAGCATGGGAGCAGCTCCAGACGTTTTCAGTAACCTTTAGTGATATTTTTTTTTTTATAAAAATAACCATTACACACCATTTCAAAACCTCGCCTAAGGAAAAATCCGAGTGCCCTGGGCGTCTGACCGCAGACGTCTGATTTCAGGCACTGTTGAGCGTGCAGGCCTCATGCCCTGGCGCCCCCAGGAGGCGCACGCTCCATACATGACTGGCTCCTGCCGCGTGCAGGCCTCATGCCCTGGCGTCCCCAGGAGGCGCACGCTCCATACATGACTCGCTCCTGTCGCGTGCAGGCCTCATGCCCTGGCGTCCCCAGGAGACGCACGCGCCATACATGACTCGCTCCTGCCGCGTGCAGGCCTCATGCCCTGGCGTCCCCNGCAGGCCTCATGCCCTGGCGTCCCCAGGAGACGCACGCGCCATACATGACTCGCTCCTGCCGCGTGCAGGCCTCATGCCCTGGCGTCCCCAGGAGGTGCACGCTCCATACATGACTCGCTCCTGCCATGTGCTCCCTGCCCAGGCGAGGCGCTTACATACTGTGCACCGTGGCTGACAGGCTGAACTATTTGGCCGTTTGGGCCGGAACGAGAGAGTTCAGACTTTCCACGTCGCCATGAAGGCAAATAAGAATGTCGGACTGGGCCCCGCTCTTAAGGGTGACCCCCCCAACGCTGGAAACTCTCTTCCACATCCATACCGTGGGACTAAACCTTTTCAGATTCTTTAGCCGTTTTCCTCCTTGAGGCCCCTGTCAGGTCACGACACTCCCATGCCAGAAGGTGGCGTATAATTCATTAAGTCAGTTGGAGGCTCTTATTTCCAGTATCACCAGTACAGCTTTCCAGTAATTCATGAATTAAAATAATAAATGAGTAATAAGTCAGTTGATCACAGTAGTCCTGTTGCAATGAAGACATTACGTTTATTTAGCAGGTGCTTATAAGTGAAGTAAGCAGGATCAGCCAGGATCAGCCAGGATCAGCCAGTCCCTGGAGCAATTGGGGTTCAAGGGCCTCACTCAGGGGCCCGACGCTGAAGTCACTGGGATTTAAGCTGGCGATCTTCCGATGACAGACACAGCATCTTAACCTGCTAAAACACAACGTATTGGCTTATTGCCCTCATCATGTGTCGTACAGTCAGAGATCACCGTTAACTGTGAATAACCTACTTATATTTTCATTACTCACCTGCTTACCTCCATCTTAAATCTTTAACTTACTGGGTGAGACTCAGGCTCGGCTTCACGCACGAAGTGGAAAATCTGCCGTAATTCCACGCCCACGTTCAGCCGCTCAGTGTCTTTGGACCTTCTTGGAGCATGGTCACCATTTCCCTTCAGCTGACCTTAGACTTTCTGCTCACGGCCACAGGGCGACCCTGGAAATGACGGAGCTGAAGGGGAGGTGGGCCAGCAGGGGTATTACGGAGAGCCTGGGGATCCCGGAAGACCGGGAGTGCCAGGTGGGAAAATGAAGCGTTTACTCACACTGGGCCCCAGACGGTCCGTACCATGCCCTAGCATGTTTGATTCACAAACTTGGTTTGACTATTGTGATCGCTCCATACCGTACCCAGGTGCACTATGCTTAACCGTATGGTTTCGTCATGGTTAGTTGGCATCTAGTGTGATCACTAACTATGGCCGAGTACGCAACACAGATATGACCTCAGTGATACGACTGACAAGCACATGTGCACATGTTCACCACACATAAACCGAACCCAGAAGGATCAGATCAGGTAGGCTTTGCATCATTTTTTTCTGCAAAACTGCCTTGCAAAAAAATGGCATGTACTGTACAGATTGAGTAGCGACAAACATTTCACAGACATGGCAGCAAAGAGATGACTTTGGTCTATGGCAGAGGTGCAGTGTTTGCTGGAAATCTGGGCTGGTGAGAATATGCAGGCACATCTGGGTGCAGCACACAAAAACTCTTCTTATACACACAGCACATATAAATAATAATCGCTATGTTGTGTACTAGACAAATCTATGTGTGTCATCGTGCCCAAAACTACTCCAAATAAGCCACAAAATTAGGACATTAATCATGAATTCCATTCTGCTGTGATGACGGAAGAATGCTCGGGTCAGGACCGTTAAGTGCGATGTGAGTGCTTACCAGTGGGGGGGCACTCGTGCCCGGGCACAGTACGAGGCCACCAGGCCAAGTGTGAGTACATCATAAAGGAAAACTCCCCTGAATAACATGGGGGGGGTGCCTTGGGTCTGAACTGCGCTGTGCTCCTCAGGTAACCAAGGAGACCACGGAGACAAGGGAGCTAAAGGGCATGGCTTACCTGGATATGCGGGAGACCAGGGAACGAAGGGTAATTCATGGTCAACTTTTAATATGAGTTCAGTCTGAAACACACTGACTAACCTGTGTATAGCAAACATACAGTATAGTACGACATACTGTGAGAGGCGAAATACCATGATCATTTTGATAATAATTAGAACCTATTTCCTAGGAATACTACGGGTTTCATTGCAAGGCTTTGTTACTTCTTAATAAACTTCAGGTGACAGTTGTCTTAATAACTTTAGTTATCTGGCACTAGAATTGATCCACCTTTGAAACCCATCTACGGATATAGTGACAGAGGAGACTGACTGTCTTCCCCCAGAGGTTAAAGGTTACGCCCTAACATTCTCCCCTAAAACAGGCCAACGGGGACGACCTGGCATCGCCTTTGAAGGCCAGCCTGGGCACCCTGGCGAGAGGGGCCACTTGGGACGTCCCGGACTGAGGGCTCACCCAGGACTCCCAGGAACACCCGGAATCTGTCTGACGTCGGGGTGCCACCAGCTTGACGTGACACCTGCTCCCCCGGCCACGCAGACTGCCCCCACCCGTAGGAGGCGCCCGTAAGGGGCAAAAGAAGCCAGGGCATATTTGGAGGGGGCGTGACCCAAAACAGGGGTGGGGGAGGGGCCACATTTTGACTGAAGCTGAAGTTAAATCACAGGCTACACCAGCACACTGGCATCTGCGAGGCAAATACAGATGCTCATTATAGTTAAAAGGTCCCTTTTATTGGGGTAATTTATGTTAACATTCCTAACATGAATCAAACTCAAAGTCTCCTCGAGTACCATGTTCTTTATAATAAAACCTCAAAAATGTGAGTGCTGTTTTACAGTAGTCATTTCAGGATAGTAGCAGGTCACATGACCTTATTTATAATGAATCCTGTGACAGAGGTCATGACCTCTGTATAACCATGATATCTTTATGTGCAGTACACATTATATACTAATTTGTTTTTGAACACACGCATAAAAGGGAGTCTAAGGGATTGTTAGCATTGTTAGGATCTCTCTACCTTTAGGGGTAGGATCTCTATCTTTAGGTTTAGGTTCTCTCTATCTTTAGGTTTAGGATCTCTCTATCTTTAGGGTTAGGATCTCTCTATCTTTAGGGGTAGGATCTCTCTATCTTTTATTAGGATCTCTATCTTTAGGTTTAGGATCTCTCTATCTTTAGGGTTACAATCTCTATCTTTAGGTTTAGGATCTCTCTATCTTTAGGGGTAGGATCTCTCTATCTTTTATTAGGATCTCTATCTTTAGGTTTAGGATCTCTCTATCTTTAGGGTTACAATCTCTATCTTTAGGTTTAGGATCTCTCTATCTTTAGGGGTAGGATCTCTCTATCTTTAGGCAACAAACCATGTAGTTCCACTGAAAACATGATTCAGCCCCAAGTGGTAGATGAGTGGAAAACTGAAGGAATATAGTGAAATTTCCCCCTAGTCCCAAAGAGGGAACAAGGCGTTTTCTCCACATTAATCTCTCCACTGATTTATTTAAACCTTTTTTTTTCTCCATACATGAAAAGAAATAAAACGCAGCCACAGTGTGCTGGTAAGACGTGTGTTGCGCACATATTTAAAGGACTTTATTGCAAGTACACTGTGAACTGCAGAGGTAAGGGCATTAGAAGCCTGTCTGCATAAGTAAAGTCATTTGATATTAGTGTACTAATATTTAGTAAACTGAATATTAAGGATCCTGAGGGTTTGAGAACTATGAACACCCCGACTTTGCATTTGGTCAAAACGTTATTCAGAACAAATTGTTCAGATATCCTCCTTACGACGGGGGCATAGAGATACAATAATAACCGGGTGATGGTTCCCCCACCCTGTGGTCTACACACTGCCGTCCAGACAAGACGAAGATGAAGATCTGACCGTTTAGAGGTACCTCTGGTGGTCTGCTGGCTCTCATGGGAGACCTTATGGAAAAGCTTCACTGAACGTAGTAAATGGAAACATGGCTCCTTGACCATATGACCTTATATACGGATGAGACATTAATAAACAGTAATAATTCAGGACTTTAAATGAAAAGACTTTAAAATAAAGTAATTGTAACCATCTGTACAATCAGTGAATAAGCAGCAAATTCACCGACCATTATAGATGTTTAACGTTTGTCTGGAAAATAAACTGCCTTTTAAATTTAGTGGATCTGCATTTATCAGTTTAACCCTAATTTTCATATGGTTATCCACTTTAATATGGCTGGAGGTAAGGAGTGGCATGGTGGTGCAGTGGTTAGCACTGTTGCCTCACACCTCTGGGACCTGGGTTGGAGTCTCCGCTTGGGTCACATGTGTGTGTAGTTTGCATGTTCTCCCCGTGTCGTCATGGGGTTTCCTCCAGGTACTCTGGTTTCCCCCCACAGTCCAAAGACATGCTGAGGATAGTTGGAGTTGCTAAATTGCCCTTAGGTGTGAATGGTGTGTGAGTGAATGGTGTGTGAGTGTGCCCTGCAATGGGCTGGCCCCTCATTCAGCGTTGTTCCCTGCCTTGTACCCATTGCTTCCAGGATAGGCTCCAGACCCAGTAGGATAAGCAGGTTGGACAATGGATGGATGGCTGGAGATAAATGACTCCAGTGATAAAGGTCAATTTCCAACTTACGAGTGTCTGACTACAACCAGCGAGGCACATGTTTCTCACTTTTACAAAAATAGCACAAATGGTCTCCCCAGAGATGGGGGTCACTTCTGTACTGGTATAAATGCTGTTAAGTGACTAACAGAACGGGTACTAATATGATGGTAGGTACCAGGTTTCCTGCGGTACACTTGTTGATTTAAAACTGGATGATTGTACTCTAGAACAGGAAAGGCATCTCAGTAAAATGTTGGAAGACACTGGAAACATCTATTTAAGTCATTGAACAACAGTGGGAAAATGGACAACTTGATCCATCAATCTACCATAGGAACCATAGTGAAGGTACCTTGGCTTTGTTAAACTTTTCATATTACACTTGCTTCTCCTGAAGAACAAGGGCGCTGGTTTCCTGGCGGGCAGCAGCGTTGTCCTGTTTAAGCCTACACACACGAGCTTACACCAGCAGCAGCAGGGAAATCCCAGCACAGTGACCTTCCTGAGCACACCCCTCCACCCCCAGTGCCTTCCATGGAAACTCTTCATCGGCAGTTCGGCCTTGTTAACCAGATGTCCGCCACATTCGCGGCACTAATCTGTTCTGCATCTTAGAATATTGTTGTGTCTGTTGCCGCGCAGAACTATGAACGACGACCTGCGAGGATGATTTACTGGAGCCGTGAACAAGTGTGATGACGTGTGTAAAAGGAGGAAGATGTTTGAGTTTGTCAAGCACTATCCATAAAAGATCTCAATTTTAATTAGGGCCATAAACTTGTACGCAAATCTGTTTTCCAGAAGTTCCATAGTTACATGATTTTTGAGGGAAAATAGATCATCCAGCATTAAGAATAAGAATGAAGGCTTCTGTCCGCCTGAGTTATTTCCGTATCAAATGAGTCGCCCATTTGCTTGTGAACCATGTGATGCTTTTCATAACCGCATTCCGCTGTGTTATTTCTTAGCAGGACACAACCACAGTCTTGAATACAGCTTACAGATTTTCACAAAGAAAGCACATTTTAAATGCTGGAAAAAGCTAGAATAGCTTTATTAAAATGTCAGTTAATTTTTAAAGATTCAAACGAATTCTAATATAGAGGTATAGCATATTGAAAACACTGAAAGTCATTAAGTTGTTGGTTTGTGTCAAATATATATATATATATATACACACACACACACACAAACTCCTCCTGGAGATATTTTTCTGATGAAAGAATACAGCTGCTGCATTAATATCCCATTTGACGCCGGACTCGCCATGCTCCAAGAAGGTCCATCTTCCGTGAAGCACAAAAACATCAAGGAGAATCAGCCAGGAGTCGTGTGAATAGGATTTTCCAGCCTGGCATTTCAAACTGAAGATGTCGGTCAGTAGGACGCAAATCACAGATTGAACATCAGTCTCATCTGTGCAACTGGGGACAGATCTATGTCAGCAGCTCAAAAGACACCCTGAGCTTTCACTGGGAGAGCGGCTAGATATCTGCTGCGAGGAGCTGATGCCGCAGATGAAGATGAATCACACTGAATTCCACAAGCAACAAAATCAACATACCAAAATCTTTTATTAGCTTCTCAGTTTTTTTTACAATTTTGATCTCTTCTTCGACTTCTTTCGACTTTATGCCTGAGCTCAGCTCCTACCAGTATGTATGTGTCTGTGCTCAGAGCCCGAGCTCAGCTCCCACCTGTATGTACGTGCCTGCGCTCAGAGCCCGAGCTCAGCTCCCACCTGTATGTACGTGCCTGCGCTCAGAGCCCGAGCTCAGCTCCCACCTGTATGTACGTGCCTGTGCTCAGAGCTCGAGCTCAGCTCCCACATGTATGTACGTGCCTGCGCTCAGAGCCCGAGCTCAGCTCCCACCTGTATGTATGTGCCTGTGCTCAGAGCCCGAGCTCAGCTCCCACCTGTATGTATGTGCCAGCGCTGAGAGCCCGAGCTCAGCTCCCACCTGTATGTATGTGCCTGCATGCCTTTGAAAAGGGCCGCATGATGGGAGATGCAAAACAAACACATTCCAATGTATTTGTGCAGATGGAAAATAAGGTTGATTTCATAACGTAGAACATGGAGGAGCATTAAGGATTCTGTGATAAATAGGAAGGGAGCAAACTGAACAACTACCAAACCCAACCAAAGTTTGCTGTCCCCACTCATGCCTCCCCCGCCCCCCCAGCATCGATACACAGACCAAATCCTGAAATGTACATGTGTTACCAGGCTTCCTGTCCTCTTTGCTGAATTGGTCCAGAAGAGGCCGCCCCCCTTCAATTTTAAGAGCTGTTCTTATCTGTGTCTCCCCCCATCCTGCGGGGGCCGTCGAGAGCGGGGGGCCAGGCTTGCTCTCACTCTCTCTCCCCCCTCCCCTCCGTCTCGCTCCCCTCTCTCTCCTAGTTAGATCCTCAGAACATCACGGCAGCTTCAGCAGATCAAACTCCTTCTTCTCGTCTCCTCAGCACGGACATGACAGCGAGGAGCTCCTGAGTCCAGGTCCTCACTGCAGCAGTCGTGGCTCGGGTACGTGCCGGCGTCTCGCTGTCACTCTCTGGGGCTGAGGGAGGGGGGGTAATGCTCTTTTATAATGTTTTCTAATGCAGGTAGGGTGATTTAGCTCAAAATGTTGTACTATTTCCACAAAATGTGAGTATTATTTTCTTTTTTAGGGGCAGTTCTGCTTAATGCCGCTTTTCAGTTTGCATGTGATGCCTGAGATCAGGAAAGTTTGCCGGTGATTCAGTTTGGTTTGCACTAGTGCTACCCTTGTGCATCATCCCCCGGCACCGAATCCTTTGAAAGGAACTCAAAATCATAGCAGCACCTGTGCAGACATTATTTGAAGTGGGATCAGACCATTTAAACACTGAGTGAAGTTGGGGCACTGTGCTCTGTCAGACACTCTGCTTGCTTCACAGAATCCTGTCCGTTTATACGCTAAGATCGACTGGCTGCTTGCTTCTTTTTTCTTCACTTAGCAGATGATTTTAACCAAAGCGATTGAGAAGGCGGGTCAAAGAATCCCTGCTGGTTACGCATCATGCTAGATTTAAGCCTGTACGGATGTAAAGTTTTAGCTGATGCTGCATAAAATTTTCAGATATGGGGATCGTTAAGGGGAAGAAAAGGTTGTGGTTTCATTTACCATCTGTGAGAAGTACAGTTTAGCAGCATTTCTGTTCCTGTAGAGCCAATTCTTGTCAGTGGACCAAAGCAGTTCAGGACAAAGTGATTGAATCAGTTTCATGGTTTTGATTATTTGAACCGTGTCCAGCAGGGTGACTGATATAATGCTCTGGCTTCCCCTTCAGTGCCTGAGGGCCTTGGCTGGATAATAGAACACGCTTAACAGCAGTTGTTGATTTAGCGGTGGAAGAACTTCTTCATTGCAACAGAAGATTTAAACCAGTAGAGTCTGAAATAGGAGTGGCTAAAAATGCTTGTTTCTGAAACAGCAGTGCCTCTTACAAAACGGCCAGGGTCAGCTGCCAGTTTGTGAAATGTACTGTATAAACCAGTTATATGATTTCTATTAATTCCTGCAGTCCAAAGAACAATAGAAAAGGAAAAGAGAGATACACAGGTCTCACCTGGATAAGCATTTTGGAAAATAGAGGGGCAGATGAATGGAAAGAGGGACAGGAAAGAAAAGAAGAATCATTCATCAGCTCTACTCACCTCTCTCTGCTCTGTTCTCCGGGAGCAGAAGGGGCCATAGCATGTACACACACCAGCCCTGCTCACTCCTCTCTGCTCTGTCCTCAGGGAGCAGAAGGGGCCATAGCATGTACACACACCAGCCCTGCTCACTCCTCTCTGCTCTGTCCTCAGGGAGCAGAAGGGGCCATAGCATGTACACACACCAGCTCTGCTCACTCCTCTCTGCT